GCAAAGTATTTGCCCTGCTCGGAGCAACTGCGGTGAACCCGAGCATTTGCAATAACAGCAGTTCAACATGAAAAGACACACGCAGCCAAAGCTGTACATGTGGCCGCCAGATTGGAGCCCGGTCGCCAGATTCGAGTCGCTCAATTTCACTGCCAGCGAAGAGAAATAGTCAAGCAGGGAGCCGTTTTTTAGCGAGCAAAGAAGCCCGCTGCTGCTTGCAGCGCTTCCCCCTCCCCTCTGCTCCGATCCTGCACGAATAGAGTCTGCCTTCACCTCCCAAAACACATTTCCACATGTACGTCTGTCCGGTGCACTGGTGGAGATGGAAACTCTCGTCCTTGTGGGCCGAAAGACTTGCCCACACACACATGTACTAATTCACTTTTAGGCACCTCAGCCTGCCAAGTATTTTGTATTAAGACATAAACATGTCTCTCCCTGACTCTTTCTGTTCCTTTTTTTTCCCTCACACATAGAGTGCTTGATCTCATAAAGCAGGAAAAAGCGTTCATTTACAGCCAGGGGTCAGTTCAAAGCGCAGACGGCCCCCCCTGACCCCTCCCGTTCTCCATGCAGTTTGAGTGAAAGGGTTACATCCTGCTTGATTTACGACAGGGGAATTGTTCATGGCGACACGCGGAATCTGACCTCCTCCAACACAAATCCAAGCTTGATCACAGATCTACGACTCCATTCGACTAGATTGGCTGCACCTTCTTCCAGTCCACCGTTCTGCAAATCCACAGGAGATCCCACTCTTTCCAAGCTTTTTCTTTTCCAGCTGAAACCTAAACCTTTATAGGAAGGCGGTGGCGTGGGTGTCTTTTCCACAGCACATATAAATCCCAATAAATCCATCATAATAACTGTGATCCACAATGTCTGGATGAGGCAAAGCCAATTGGGTGAGAGGGGCAGCAGATCACTGGGTGGATTACAGAGGCTGAAACCAGAACTACCAAAGCCCCTACTGAGTAGTAGAAGGAAGAAATCCAATCAGTCTTGAGCCCTTCACTTTTATGAGCACATAAATTACAAGATGCACATGGATGGAGACATTGTTCATCTTTAGCAATAGAGACATGACTGAGCCAAGGCAGCATGAGGCCCTAGGCTGAAATTCTTTCAGGGGCACACTTCCAGCTAAGTCCATCGGAACTGGTGCAGACAGAGTTTAATATTTTGTTTTGTTGATCTGCATGTGGTTTCAATACGCATAAAAAAATCAATCAATCAATTAATCAAATATAAAAAACTGAAGCATCATTAATAACATTGTTGGGGTGACGTTATACAGACCAGATCAGAGTTAGGACCAGTCCACACAGAAGAGTGTTTTCTACAATGGGTTTTTGGTTTCAAAATGACCTGCTTCCAAACGGGACCATTTCCAGAAATGATTTTATTCAACACAGAAACACAAAATGGGCCAAAATGCTATTTTGTAAATACAGCTAAACATGGAGTATGGAACATGTGCATAAAGCTTCCATACACACACACACACACACACACACACACACACACACAAACCAAGAAAAATAAAACAAAGCACAACTGGTGCATTAACACATTACAAGACGAACGTCATCTGCCATTTTTGTTATGTATAATGTGCATGATGCGTTTGGAGTTATAGGTCATGTTAGAGGTTGGGTTGATATATTTAATATGTTAAAGGTGTTTTCACTGTCCACATGAATATGCAAAGGCAAAATAACAGTAACAGAAATGATTTAATTTTGCTTTGAGATCAATAAAGTATTTTAGAATTTGAATTTAAATCACAATGTGTTTTTAAAGGAATGTAGTTTGTGCAAAACATTCTAGCTCAGCTTTGACTGCTCTATGGATACTGGTACATACATCTTTAATTCTATGGATTTTCTGCTTTGTAAAAACTCAATCTGCATGTTTTCTAAAGAAAAAAAAAAGATTTGGTGAATCTCAAACTGTGTTGTGAAGAATTTCTTTAGATTTTGAACTCGAAATGATGAAATATTTTCAAACGGTGAAACGATCCTTTGGCGATACTGTTCTGACAAAAGATTTTTATATTCTGTCTTTCACTCTTTTATCACTGAATGTCGTTAGGGAATATCTCTACTAGCCAACTTTGTCACCTGAACAGGACAACTCAAGAATGACTTCCCTTTTTACTTCAAAATAAGAGTCTCAAACATAGCTTTAGCGAGTTAGCCTAGCAGCACACATGCTAAAAGCATTTTGAAAACAGATCTCACTTTGCCAACAGGTATCAACAACTATGAAAGTGTTTAATTGTTATAGCCTCCGTTTTAAACAACCTTCAAGGTTTTATACAACTGCTGCGTTTGCAGACTTGTTCTACATAAATTTAAGAGCTTATGGGGCCCAGCAGGTTCCTCCTGTAACTTGGGTAGGCTCTAAATTTCGATGTTGCACGTCCACCTTTCAACAAATACACACCAAACACACAGACAGAGCTTCCAGCTGCAGCTTCGAACTCTTATGAAATATGCACAAGCGAGGAGCCAAAGGCAACATCATCCATATCTTACAGCGTCGAGTCAGGAGATTAGCCTCCAGCAACCTCAGGGGGACACTGCTCGGTGTGTGTTTTTGTGTGTTGCTGCGTCTTTGTATGAATTCGTGTCTGAAACAGCTCATTTAGGAGCTTTTTTGGCACAACGGGGAATCCATGTGACCAAACTGACATGCTAGTACGTGCATTCGACCCCAGACTCTAGGGTACGCTCCATTACGGCTCCCACATATGCTTGTCTGGCAGGACTCGCTGCTCTTCCCACAAGCTGCACATCCATTCAACGCTGTCTTCTGGATCCCATCTGATAAATCAAGCCACTGTGTCCTTAAATTGCTGAACCAGGCTCTATTGGAGGCACTCACTTTTCCCATGGAGGGAAATTAGAAATAAATAAAAAAAGACACAAAAAGGCCCTGAGTTCGCCACCCAAGAACAGAGTAGTAAAGCAAGCCAAGGTAATGGTTGGCAACGGAGACAAAGAGGAAAGATCAAAGGCTGTAAAAATCCATTTGCACAACAACAGGTAACAGAATGACTAAATGACAAAACAACAGAAGGCTCTGAATGCATCCTCAGGCTGAAGGACTCCTCTTTAGCTCTGTATTCATAGCTTTATTCTACAGGAATAACTAGAAACACTTACGCAAATATACAAACATTTGTAATGAATCCTACAGATCAATAGAAGTCATCTAATTCATTAGCACCACAGCTAAATATAGCCCAGTGCCCCTATGTTCAGCCTAGGATTCTGAAGCCTAATTATGCAAAATTTCAGTCAAATACTGCAGAAAATCATTTCCAACTGCTTAGTCTATCAGCCCACAGTAATCACCCGGGTGCCGCCGAAGCTACTCACCACTTCAGGAAACACATTTTCACATGCAGATTGTCACCATGAAAGCAAAAATAAAAATAAGCAAGACTCTGACAGCTTCTCAATTCTATAACACACTCGCACACAGAAAAGCCACAAAAAAAAAAAAAAAACCTCTGGGGATTTTGGGGTTTGCATGAAGCAGACCTACATTAATTACAAAACATTGTCAATTGAGAGAACATCATGTTGGTAATAAAACTGCAGGGCAGAGCCAGAAAATGTTCATAGGTGTGGCCAGGCAGGGAACGTTGCTCGCTCAGCGGTGGCCGCGGCGGCCCATGGAAACAACCAATGACTTGGCAGGGACGGCTGCAGAGTGAGCCAATGCTGCGTCCCTGCTTGGAACAAAGATGAACTAATGGCCTTGTTTAAAATATAAGAACCATAAATAACCAACATATGTTTTTTTATGATAACCGGGAAAGGCCATATATCATCCAATCCTTCCTTTTCAACAGACAACCAAAAGTTAGGCTGTGTGCAAGAAAAATAAATGGCGGTCCTGGATTGGTTGTTTTGCAAATGCCACACAATTGCGTGCCATGCAGCGTGGAGACTTGTTATTTCAGCTTCCCAAGCTTGCATTTTACTTTTGAATACTAACAGAGCTTTCCCATGAATATAAACAAACAAACAAACAAAAAAAGGGTTTCCCACAGGAGCTACCTTCCTTTCTAAAATCCATGAACAGGCGAGGGTCCACTGTACCCCAAAACATTTGCTCGAGTGATGGCAGGAAAAGTCGGAGGAGATTCTACATAGCAGTGCTTCAGGTCGGGCTGAGAACAAATGTATTCCAAACTTTTTTTATTTAATGTTTTTGTAAAATTAATGAAAACCAAATGAATCATTATATTTCTACTTAACAATTAGATGGTGCTTCATCTCAGACTTTCACATGTAATTCTGTGAAGTTTACAGTTGTAACATCATAAAATGTGAATAAAAATCAAGAAGTATGAATACTTTTGGAAAGGTGCACCATCATCTTGTAGTCATTTCATTGCATATAAAGACCAACAGACAGCTGCCTTACTTAAATTGGTATGTTCTCTTGTCTTTCCCACTTTTGCAGAGTGCCGCTGAACCATTACCCACTAAGTAACGTCATATTTATTCTTCAGGGAAGCAGGAAGTTTTGGATAACAAATAAAAGCTCCTCAACACTGATCAACTTAAAATTAAAAATAAAAATGTTTTAGTTGCTCTTAATTTATAGAATATGGTCATTTGTTAAAAAAAATAAATTAAGTGATAAATAATAAATAATAATTATAATAAATAAATAATTATTTATTATTACAAATATTCTTTGTGTTCAAATAAAAGCAATATAAGTTTTAAATAGTGGGGTTTTGCACATATTTACCAGAGGTACTGATAACCTGAAAGGTGTTGAGTTAAATCCCTAATTACTCATTTCTATCTTTACAAAGAAATATTTTTTAATATTGCATTTTCTTCCATAGGGAAAACCATACTTTTAATAAACCCTACCAATCACAATCACCTTTTTGCAAATTCCTTTAACAGAAACCAGGCACACTCTGTGTGTTGTGTCGCCCACAATCAGCCAATCACTGCTCCTCTTACCAGCCTGGTTGGTGGTGACGGTCACAGACACCGCCTGCTCCGGCCCCGGGCTCTGAGGCGAGACGCCGTTCACCGCCCACACCTCGAAGGTGTAGTTGGTGTGCGCCTGCAGCTCGTTGATGGACACCCTGGTCCCCTTCAGGCTCAGCTGCTGAGGGCTGAAGTGAACGCCGTTGCCGCAGGGCTGGCAGCGGCGGCCGTCGGGCCCGCAGCGCTTACACACAACGTTGTACGTCAGGTCCTGGCGGCCCCCAGAGCTCCGAGGGGGGCTCCACTCCAGGTTTACCGAGGTCTCGTTCACATTCGAGATGAGGTGGAGGGGTGCGGTCGGAGGGCCTGGGGAGGGATAGAAATCACGTTGGCAACAGCGGGAGAGAAGAATAACTTGTGAATCAACAGTGGATGAGATTAGGAGATTAAAACGGTTATATCTTTCAGTAAAGACTTCAGAGATCTCATTCCCCTCTGGGTTTGTCAGTCAATTCTCTCCACACATATACATATGGCCGAGATGTAAATGCATAATTGACAGGGTTGTCCCTTTAATGGGAGCTCAGGCTTCTTGAATTCCCTTTTAATGTCCTGTCCATTACAGCTGGAGAAGATCCAGTTTCCCCTCAGTTAGTTTAGAATGTTAACTGAAATCCAATAGGGCAGCAGAGCCCTGTTCAGATCCGAAAGCTGAAAGGCGGCGAGTGCCTGGGATTTATTTGGTTTTGCTCCTGCTCCGTGACTTTAGACAAAGTCAAAGTTGACACTATAATGAAAAGCCTACGTGGCGTTTGAGCCTCGTAAAAAACAGCTACGGTGTTTCTAAGTGATGCAAACTCTCCAGCTCATCACTTCCACTTTACATGTCGGCTCTGTTGTGAGTAATGCGTTTTGTTTTCTGTTTCTTTTTTTTTTCCTTAGCACTATCAAACAGCCGTTACTGACTTCGCTCTGCCTTTCTCCATCTGCCTCTGCCTCCGTTTTCCCTGGATGACTCGCGCTCCCTTTAACCAATGAAGCGCACGCGAGTGAGCTCGGGATCGATGTGGGGTGAAATATGAAAGCTAGTCAGTTCGCTGATGAATCGTTTCACAACGGAAATTAATTATCAGTGTTATTTTTGGAGGAGCGGCGCGGCGATGAGTGATTTCACAGAGACACCGGGAGCGGAGGAGAGGACAGGAAGTGCGGGAAGAGGAGCTCCTTTTTAGGGAGAAGAGTTCACACTCGCGTTCAGTCGCTGAAAACAGTGACTTGTTTTAGTTCTAGAAAAACAACATTCTCGTTCAGCAGAGGTAGAAACCTGGGATAAGCATTAAGTAGTAAATCTATTTAACCGTGCTGTATATAACAAAAACTGGAAATGAGGCAAAGTGTGTAGAGATTAGGCAGGTTAAGGTGCAAAAGGAGGCGAGTTCCTTCTAGATTTTGATATCATTTGGCACCATCTACTTGTTTCCTTACCTCCAGGGAGGAACACTGAAATTTAGGAGGAACCCCATCTGTTATAGGTTTACAGTTCAGTTCCTGTATTCACTCTGTAGGCTGCATTAGTTTCCCAAGTTGAATATTTTTCTTGCACATAACATTTATCAATTATTTTTAAATTACAGAAGCCTTAGGTGGTTTCTACAGTTATTGATTTAAGTGTTGCAGATATTCAATTAGCCTTTATAGGCCTATGAGCACAGGTCTCGTAAAGGTTTTCACATCCTTGAATTGTAAATGCAATCTGACTGAACTTGAGCTATTTCACACAGAACAAATGACACAAAGTTCAGATGAGCACGTACAGACACCGTCTAAAAGTCCAAACCGTACATTTGAGCAGTCTCGTAAAATTACAAAAGACGTATTAACTCTTCACAAAAGCATGACTGGAAAAAGAATAATCATCGATGGCGTTAATGATGAAGTTTTGCCGCATGAAAGGAGAAAGCCTTCATCCATGAAGCAACATCTTAGAAATGTACTTTTAGAGAATATTCTCTAGATGTACGGACGTTAATCGTCTATCATGTCAACATTTTTGCGAATGTGTTTCTGGTGAGCGCGCAATATGGAGCGAAAAGCTGAGAAGATTGAGATGAAAACGCACAGAAGGAGAAGACAAACACTGTCTGTTTGTCTAAATAGAAGAAATGAGCCTCAGCAACTTGAAAGGAGCAGCTCTGAATGGATGGAAGGATTACAGCAAGAAGGAACAGGAAATAGACCGAGAAGAGCGGCTGCACAAGCTGTAAGATGGAAGGATGTAGACCGTTAATATTAGCAACATTCAATTTCCCCTCTCACAACTGCAGCCTACAATGAAAGTCTATTAATAAATTCCCATTAAAAACTGTGACAGAGCGACCCCTTTTTTTGTCTGCTGCTCCCGACTCTCCTTCCCTCTGTTACTCTTTCACCTCATTTCCCCCATAAGCGCCTCAGACAATGAGAACAAGTTGCACATGGGGCTTCCATACGATGTTTCCAACAGAAACCGTCCCACTGTCCCAATGTGTTTTTCTGTGATTAACAAACATTTCCTCCTTCATACTCTACTGAATAAGTCAAAGACAGAATAAATGAAGGGATGTGTTAAAACTCAGTGCAGAAACGTAACAGCGAAGAAGCTTGGAACTTATAATCAGGGAGCAAACTGGTAGGGATGTGTTTATTCATATCACAGAGATTGTTTGTTGCTATGGCAAACATGACAACACTGTTGTGTAACTTTCATGACTCTATAAAGTCTTAAACATCATGTCAGAATTTCTCGTTTCATCACACATCCGCACGCACACGCATGCCCACAGACACAGCACCTTTGGCGGTACCTGTCGCTCTCTCTGAATGCACCAGTGGGAGCGTGGGAGAGCCGTCGGCTGTGACTGACACCCGGTAATTAATCCTGGGAGAGAGAACGGGGCCACTGTGCTTCCAAAACCTTCACGAAGTGCCTCTAAATGTTCGGAAAGTTTTATCCTGAAAACGCATTTTCCTTCTCGTCCATGGGCTGGTTAAGGTGCTTGATTTTTCTCTGTCACGTTGTGTTTTCAATTGCCCTTCCAATCTAAAATCCTCTCTTCAAACCCCTATCCTCTCAGCCGCATCACCTTCTTGCAGCGCTCCATCTTTCTGTTTCTCTTTATCAGTAATTGTTGGCGTTGCGTGTGTTGAGTGTTGAGCAGGGCTGCGTTAGAGAGCCGGCTAAATTGGCCAGAGCATCGACCCCGCTATTACAATCCGGCTGGGGTTCATTCAGCGCCCACTCCTCCCGCCCCCCTTTGAGTCCTTCCAGCTTATGTTCATTCCTCCCTCCACTCCTCCCTCTTACTCTACAAAGCAGTGACTAAGAAAACTGAGGAAAAATCTGAGAAACACATCAGGGTTACAAAGAATCCCGAAACAGAGAAAAAAAAAATCACTCCATTTTTAACCTGGACACGGTCGAGCAGCTAGCTCTTCTCTGGGCATGATTACTATTGTGTAGCACATGTTTGCTCACTCAACTGCAGTTAAGCACCAGGAATGACCATTTCCTCCACTATTTTAATGACTTTAAAGTTGCTACGTGTATTTAAAATGTTCAGTGCCATCCACCGAAATGAACAGGCAGTGCAAGAAGTGTATCAGTAAAACAATCAAATCTTGAATTTGTCAACTTAGAAACTATTGGACATGCACTCCACAGACTTTGGCTTTTTGGGAAAGCGGCATAGAAAAAAAAAAAAAGTCCAAGGGTCTCAATTTGGGAGTTTGATAAACAGCAAACGGTGGTGGTAGCAGCATTATGATGTGGGGATGTTGGTCAGCATCGATGGAAAGATGGATGGGACTAAATATGGGTTGATCCTGGAAGAAAAGCAGTAAAAGGCTGAAGGTGGCTTGAGGACAGAACCATAAACCAACAGCCAGAGAATGCAGAGACTGCAGCAAAAGGTTCCTCTACAAAGTGTTGGCTCAGGAAAGCTTAATGCAAATGTACACCAGACGTGTAGCATTCCTGTTTATGTCTATCACATAAATTACCAATAAAATATGTAGAAGGTGGCTGCAACATGACAAATACGGACATGTTTAAGGGTTCAAAGAGAAACTGAACTTTCACCAGATTATTTTAAACCCTGATGTGTTTTAGCTAAACTAAAACAAGAAGCGGAACAATCATCTAAAACGCTGAATCACGATGAACCAAAAGAACAAAAATAAAACAAGAATACCAGAGCAAGTCAATGTTGCTGTCAAAGAAAGCCTCCACTGTTCTATTAAGTCGTGTAATTTTTTTCATCATGCCAGCGATTTCGCAGGTCAGGCTGAAGAGTGGGAGGTAAAGAACTGGAGGAAGATTTATATCTGATCTGGAAGACAATTGTTGTGATCACATACAGCGGCCATTACCGGCCTATCAAACGAACAGTCACAGCCGACACGAAAAGGAGCAACACGGGTGTTAACAGCTAGAGTACAGCTGAGGTAACACAAACAATCTCACTCTAAGAGAATTACACGGCATCCAACCCTAACAGTCGTCTTCCAGTGACAAACTGAGAGCCAAGACCTGTGAAAAGCATTTTCAGTGTGCCCCCCCCCGCCTCTCTTTCACACACACACATGCACACACATACAAATATGTGTTCCCCATTTACCAGAGATGCTGGCTCATGTTCCAGGCTGACCTTCAACAAACCAAACTGGGAGATCATTTCAATAGATTTTTTTTTCTGCTCTGTTCGTGACTCTGAGTAGATTTTGAGCGAAAGAAAAACCGAATGAAAACAAGATCCCGATGGATGCTGCGTGAGTGACAGTCATAATTACAGAGCTCCAACATGTAGGTTAAAAATTAAGAGAAAAAAAAAAAACGGGGAAAAAAAAAAAAAAAAAACAGCAGTCGACAGACAGGGTGAAAGTTCAGAGATCAAATGTTGACCGGGCGACGGGGAGCGGTAAAGGTCGCTCTGGGAGCCGGGCTAATGTTCAGCTCCTATCCGCCGAGTTAGGAATGTCGCGGAGGTGATGAAGCCGGGTCTTATGAAATCAGCCAAGTAATGAGGTTCGACAGCTGTTGCTTGCAGCAGTCACCGCGAGATTCCACCCTGACTAACAAGACAATGACGATGACCTCCCAGCTCGTCCATTTAAACAAAGTAAAAATAGTGAGAGAATTTAGGATTTATATATCACACTGTTATTAAAGCCTAGTCTATACAGTGCACACAGACAGCCCATAATAAAAAAAAAATATATATAAAATGCATTAAATACTTCTGATAGAATAATCTCAAACCGAGTTATAAAGAAATTCAACATTTAATCCCTTTTAACAATTTTAAATTACTGGTTGGTTTTTTTAGGGTGGTCAGAGCTTTTAGGAACCTTAAAACAGTAATACATGATTTTCTGTTGCACTGAGGTGTTATTATTGTATTACAAAAGACAGCTGCTGGTCACTCGGCTGGACCAGGACCGGTATTTATCTTGCCACCACCCAAAGCGGTGATGGCCAAGTACAGGGAGGTAAGAACTCACCCAACAAACATCGGACCCTATCTGCTGTACGTGACAACCTGATTAAAAACTAACTGTCATACTCTTTTGGAGTTTTCTGGACTCTAATCGGACTTTAACTGGAACGGTGTGCTTTAGTCAGATTAGAGAAAGAATAAGCAACCAACACTCCAAGTGGAACGTATAAATGTGAGAAAAAGCACCTTTATGTCCACTGCCAAGCATAGTGGAGGATCTGTGTTGCTGTGAGACAATTTTTCTTACAATGGCTCTTAAAGTCTAATAAAAATAGTTTTTTTTTTTTTTTTTAAGTAAAAAACAGGACATTTTAAAGAGAAACTGAGGGGATTCTGCCAGCATTCTGAAAAGTGGACCATCATTTGATCTTTCCTAAGGGTAAGTATCCAAAACATATGGCCAAACCAAGACAGATGATCTCTCTCTATGTTCTAACTAATGAGCATGTTGCAAAATGGGATTAAAAGGAATGCTAATATGAATTATTTCATAACATGCAATATTAACCACTGAATAAATCTACTCAAATCAAAGTTAGGATTTTCCTAAACATTTTAGTGTGAGATATTATGCTGCTGCAACAACACATCTTTACCAGCGTGGAAAATAAAATAGTCTATGTAATGCATCAAAGAACTAAACAGAATCTCAGGTTAACATCTGTAAGTAAAGACATCATTTTCAGAGCAGATACTTAAAATGAGAACAATTCAGGTTTTCTTCAGGGAATTTATAAGCAGCACGTCCTTATTTCTATTACAGGAAGCTGAATGTCCAGAAGGAGCTTTAGCTGTTGAAAACAATATTGCCTGCTGTAAAGTGGCCTCTTTCAGCAGGAAACAAGAAACAGCTTTAATAGGTTTAGAGACAAATACCAACCATAAATCATTCTAACTGGTCTGGTAAAAGAAACAGGCCGTCTGCTAACCAAATTGGGTATATTGCGTGAATAACAATGCTGTTTAATAGGCGAGAACCAACCTAAATCACAGCATAGAACTTTCCCTTCTCATTACAGTCTGAAGTTATTTAGAAGCTACCATTCTGAGAAGAACCTATGTTTGTTAGTGTAGCTGGATCGTCATATGTGTGATTAAACAATAAAAAACAACTATCAGTGTTACTCGGCTATGCCTAAGACTGTTTTTTATGCTTTTCTTCTTCAGTTTATAGGGTCAAAATAAGTTTTTCAACATAGAGTTTCTGTGGTTGGAAGGCCTTTTAATGAGAAACCAGAAAGAGTGCAAAAGAGTTTTCTCTCACAACTGGGAACACCGAGTGGCGTAGCGCTGCCCCTCCCCCTCCTGCTGCTGCACATTTCCAGTCAAGTGGCCAAAAGATGACTACTGCACTTTCCCTTACTTTACAAGAAACATTAATCCTGCTGCTTAGATATACTTTCACTTCAAAAGACATTATTGGAGGAACACCACATTACGGTTTAATTCAGGAAACATTGCATCTAAGGTTCTTTCCAAATTGATAGTCTCACTAATTAACGAGCTAATAGAGTCTTGTTATAAATGTGTTAATCAATAAAGAAAAGAACAGCAAAAGCAGATACATTAGAACTGCTAACTTAAGAGTGTCTAAACTACATTCTTGATTATGTTCCTTAAGTATCAAATGAACATGAAAATCTAAATGTAAAAGCAACGCTATACAATTTTTCCCATTTTGTGTAAATGCCTGGCTACCATGAAATTGTGGTATTTTATTCACATTTTGCTCAAACCTAATAAATAATAAAATGCCTCGGATGTTAAACGCATATAGCTTGCTTTTTTCCCCCCATAAAAATAGGGACTTGTTTATTATACGGTTTTCACAATTTGTTCTGCTTTTTTTTAAATGTTTTTACAATTACAAACTTAAAAAAAAACAAGAGAAAAATGAACACATAGTAAGAAATTTCACACTAAGCATATTTCTTTCCCCGTGTATTTAACTTTTAGCACATTTACTGCCCCATCTGACTGATTCACCAACTTTATTTTTAAACATTCAGCCTCTCGTGTTTTCACTGTCCGCTGCTCTTTTACAGTGAGGTGTAACAGTTTATGCCATAATTAGTTCTTCATGTCACCATGACTGATCATTATGTGCCACCTGTAGTCGGTAGACACCTATTAAACCATCAGCAGCCAGTTTAATGTTTGTGCAGGATGATTAGTGTGTGGATGCAAGGGGCTGCTTTTCCATGAAAGGGTAAGGTTCACAATACAGCTTAGCGGTGCATGCTAGGAAGATGCTGTAAGCTGTAATAAAGAAATGTAAAATTATGGAATGTGGGTGTACTTACGGGTGCAGGGCATTGATGCCGGGTCTGTTTCCGAGCGGAAGAATCCCTTGTCGCAGGCACAGGATGTGGAGCCCTCCCTCACGGAGTAACTGTGTAGCGGACACTTAGAGCAGGAGCCGTCAGTGGCCAGAGCACGGTAGTAACCGATTTTACAGGCTGCAAGATAACAAGGAGGAAAGGAAGCTTGGGTTAAATGCGATCTGCATCAGAACGTTCTGATGGTTTGCTCAGCAAACATTTGAGTTTTCTTTATACAAAATATGAATACAAAAAGAATATTGGGGATACGAATACCCAAAACGAGGAGCATAAATGGGTAAGAAAAATCACCTAGAATCCAATAAATCCTTTACTGAAGCCATCTGTCAGTTGCTGCATTTGGCATTTCACCGTAAAAGAGGCACCAAAGACGTGATTGTTTTTGCTCTATGTAATCTGAGAGGCTGACAGAAGTTGTTTTCCAATGAAGGACAAGTAGAGAACATGCTGATCTTTGCCATTTTCTGTCAATTTAACAATTTTTTTTTCTCTCTCATGCCTTGTCTCTTTTCACCTTTCTCATTAATCTCTATTCTGGTATCAGAAAACAGGAGAACTGCGGTATTGGTTGCAATATTCTCTGACAGAAAATAGAAGCTCAAATAACCATCTCTTGTCACTCTCGCACAACCCCAAACGAAGCTACGGCAAGACTTGGCACTGCAATGGAACACGAGACTGTGGCATTTCAGACAACTTAACAAGCAAATGCCACCACTCTTGGCACAGCAGGGGGTCTGTCACTCTCACAGGGCTGCTTTTATTCAGCTGGAGTCCAAATACACACCTACATACACCTCCATCTAAAACGGTAACCAAAGTGACACTTTTCCTACTTTTGACGACAGTGCTTGGCTTTCTTTTGAGCGACAGTTTGATTGGAGGTCTCGTCTTTCAAGGAGTTTCTCCTTTGTCTATCTGTTTCTGTAATGGCCGGGGGAAAACCTGGCAGGGTTATATTTCACCCCCTGAGCGCTGAACCAGAAGAGGAGGACAAAGGAGCAATTCTGGAAGAGGCGCGGCGCAGACAGTGGCAACACCGATTGGACCAAATAAGCTGTCATTCAGGGAGGTTGGCATGTTCTTGTCAGTTGGAGAGTAAGGGTACGGTAGCTGGGGTGTTGGTAGCCTCATGTTAAAGCTGGTGCGATGTGTGTGCTAGTACCCGTCTTGTCATGGTGCATGAAGAGCCAATGAATTCATGCTAAATTTCAGTTATTAACTTACACACGTACAATGACCCAGAATAACTTTATAATCACCTGACTGATATTGAGTTGGTCACTGTTTAGCTCTGACCTACCCTGGACATTTTTGTTAGATACTAATGGTAGTTTTGGAGCTGCTTGGACTCAGAAGTCTTGCCATCACCATGTAGCATTTGTGATGCTCATATAAATCCTTACACTCATTGTTGTGGCCATTTATGTAAAGTTTGCAAATTGTAATTTCTACTAATTTAGTTTTCTATTTTGGGAAGTTAGAATTTATTTAAGTTAGTTTAGATCCAAAATCTGTAGTGAATTTGTATATTTGAATTGATTAGATTATGTTGGTAATTGGTTAGACCCTCCCATTATTTTGAGCAATTAAAAACACACCGGGTGCTTGGGGGAGGCATTGTTTGGCAAATGTTTGGTGTGTGGACGGGAGGTTTTTTGTAAATGATTTTTTGACCACTTTTCACTTTTTCGTACTTGAAATGTCACATTAAGTTTACTTTCGTTTTTGGCTAAGTTGTAGGACATTTTTGGTAATTATTTTGTCGCTAATTTTTTGCAAGAAATAAAGAATATATTTTTTCAAACAAATTAAGTCGGAAGTGCGTTCAAATCAAATCGCCTGTTAATAGAATATTGTTTTTTGGAAACTAGAAGGCTGCGACACTCATGTTTCTTGCTTTAAGAGCAAATTGAGGACAAAAAGTTTTCTAGCTGCCTAATTTAAGTAAACCTACCAAAAGGTTAGATACTCTGAGGTAATCAATTCACCTTTTAATGGTCATAATGTTATGCCATAATGGTATTTGTGTGTACCCCTTTAGTTGAAATGGCTCACAACCAATCCAGATCTCAAAGTATGTTTCTGATGGTTTCCACACCGCAGCCATAAATACATCAGAGGTTTCTACATAAATTCAAGTAACTCCCCCATGTGTTAACCACACCAGAAATCAAATCAGCAAACGTGCACCACAGCGATGAGAAAGTCCAAGAAAAACTCTCATTCCACCAAGCAGCCAACACATTCACATATACAAACAGCTGAGGAAACCCTCCACAAGCCCCACTAAAATACCGGAAAATCCCTCTATTGTAAACGTAATAAACTCTTTGCCTCGCAGACTCTGCTCTGGAGCAGCTGGATTAGCGTACCAGAACGTCAACCGAGTGGGGCTAGCTGATACCTGCTGAGTCATTCTTTGTCGGTTTCCATTCACTCAATCGGGGCTAAATCCCTGCCGCTTCACTCACTAACGCTAAGCTACGGCCTCATTGACTGCAGCCTGCAGGGGTGAGTGAAGCCTCTTCTTTTCTTCACAGTTTCACGAACAAAGAGAGTACAGATTAGTCAGGAGGTGCTTTCAGTTATCTCTGTATCTTTGAGAGAATCTCTCAAAACCTCTGGAGACAGAAGAACAGCAGGATTTGTGGTGTTGTTTTAAGCCACCTCAAGTGGCAAAATGCAAAGTTGCATTAGAGATAGGTACTTGTTCGCTGACCAGGAAAGTGTCTGGAGTTTATAGTGAGGTCAACTGGTTGTGTTTGATGCTTAAAGCTGGCGGGAGAGTTAATTGAGTCCCAAACTTCATGGCCTTCATTGCAGAGTGCCTTTAAAGCCTAAGAAACAATCTAAGATTGGGGTACCTCCAACTGTGCACAATTCATAAGACATTTGCATGTCAATTATGAAGCCATCCCAGGTTGTCTCCAGAGTCCCCACAGGCCGTCCCAAAGTTTTCTGTGAAAACTCAGACCCACAGAGATGTGCTGGCATCTTCATCTGCACTCAAACATCTTAGTTTTAGAGCATGTCTGAAAAACATGAGGACTTGTTTATAACACCGACTGCCCTAAAGAAAGGAATGACGTAGGAAAAAAAAGAGGTCGATATCCAAGTAAAGCTGGGGAATTTGCTTCCTATTAGGAGCATGAGAGTGTGTCTAAGGGGAGAAACCACAGCAGTGGGTGGTCCGAGATTCCCCCTTAAGACTCTCTGGATTTATCACTGTCCGGGCCAGCCATGGCAAACCCTCACTCAGCCGCAAATACAGACACACTTGAACACGTGTGTTTAGTTTATACGGGATCTGGGATAAGATCCCTCATCGTATCCCTTTTGTAAAGCTTGCAAAAGTCAAAACCAATTTTTCCACACCGTCTTCGATACTGTTTCCCTTTTGCCCCTGTCACCCTCTTGCTCTTCTTTATTATTTTTCTTCTGACTCTCCCTCCGCCTTCTATCTCTTTCTCCCGCTCTCCTTGGCATTCTCTCGGCAGGCCTCCTTTCAGACAGAAAGGGGTTTGTCAGGTGCCAAATCCTCGAGCTCAGAGATCAAAGGGAGACAAAGACACTGGTGACTTACTGTTCTATTCTGGAAAAGCGGGAAAAAAATGGAATCCCTCATAGACAGGGGCATCGTATTCTTCCCTTATTCCCTCCCTGCAGATCCTCCTCTCATTCGGTCCTCTTCTCCGGCTTTAGTCTTTCCCCCCCTTTTGTCAGTCTTTCTCCTGCCCAATCCTCATTCCTGTTGTCTCCAAGCTAAAGCCCGTTTAGAGGAGAGGGATGACAAGGGTGGGGAGGGGAGGGAGCTAATGAGTAGTTTTGTAAGTGTGGTGGGGATTCCTCTGGCTGAATTGGTTGCAGTGTGTGCATGGGGGCAGGAAAATCTGTTCACAACAAAGCAATCAACACAACCATCGACAAAAATAGGAGTGTTTAAAAAAGATACTGATGCTATGATCGCAGCCCACATGTATGCCAACTGAAGTTTTCTTCAGAGTGGCAACAACCCACACAACAGGCTTTGAAAAGGCATACATGTTCCTGATACTGCAGCCAAATAAGACCACATCTACCCACACGCTGCAGCCCACCTTGTGCGACCCACATATAAAGCCCGATAGGCAAGCTATACTGCAGCCTACACAACAAAGTATCCCGTGCACCGGGGAGTGAAACTATGATAACATACCACAACAGCGGTTCAAAGCTATGGGAATGTAGCACCCAGCACATAGAACACAATAGCTAGGCCTTTCCAGACAGACAGCTGCTCTTTTAATCAGAAGAAGAGAATTAAGTTCAATCGACGGCATTTTCACTGCTTTCATGGTTTCACTTTATCTTCCTCAAGTGATGAAAAGTCAGACCCTTTTTTTTTAGTCAAAACAGACAGTAAGCACTCTTTAGAAGAGGCATCCCCACAAAGCAGCTCTTTGAAAAACCAAGCGATCAACTTTCAGGCCTCGAGGCAAAGGAGAGTCTCTGCTTCAGTCTAAATGCCTCTCTGCACCTTGAAGAGCCAACCACCTCTATGCAGTATGGCGTCTTTGTTTTTCTGCAGATTGATGATAACTGTGAGACTCCTGTTAGAAACCATTTGTATTTTTTTCAGTGCTTTATCTTCTTGCCTATTTCAGTCACAGGCTGAATTGTTCTAACTGTGCTGAATGCAGACAATGAAAAAAAGCTTAGACATCAAGTCACCTGAGCGGCTGGTATATAAGCACAGGATCACTAGCAACTGACCGTTAGCATCTGTCACTGGAACAGCAGGAGAGTGGAGCAGGTTAACTCATTAATTCTGTCACTCCGCGTTATTAATTACCTCCGGCCCCGACAGCAACGTGGAGCCACGCGGCAAGCAAAACACATCAGGATGATGGATGAGGGACACACGGCCAGCGAAACTGATCACCATGATTGATGACGTACACTCGACACACATCTTGACCTTGACCTGGATTGGGGGATAAGGTCCTACACTAGCTGTATCATCCTTTAACATGCAAATAGTAAAGTCGGATGGTCGCATCTGGGTTGACATCCTTACTAGTGGTAATGAAGGATTTAAACAAAAGCCAACAGGGCTAACAACATTAAGAAGACAA